TAAAGCAGCTCTGTCCGAAAGGAGCTCAAAGTAGTCGGAACTGACCAGACTAAAAGCTCTTTATCTACGAATGATTTTGTTAAAAATGTAATGAACGTGTTTTGTTTTGCCCATAAACCCGTCCTGACCTGTTTTAAAGGAGGCATGGTGACTCACCTTTAAATTTTGATTCATGAGGTGACAAAACTGGAAAAGGTTGGAGGGTTTAAATAGTTTTCCAGCACACTGTGCGTCTGTCTCTGTCGCAGCAGCAGTATTGGATATCTTTTGTTTGTGCCAACATGAGGACATCTAATAGGGTTAAATGTGGAGTCTCCCTGACTTCCAGGCTAAATATAACATCAGAGGAAGACAGCAGCTCCATCATGCTCTGACCTTCTGCAGACATGAGCTGCACCCTGCATGCGGTTCTCCGTCCAGGCACTCTGCACGTGTCGCTACGTTGACATTATAAACACATCTGATGATGCCAGACAGACTCTGATACTAAACTAGGAGATGTTTATCCATTGCACATGAGCTGCAATGGATTAACTGAGAACATTGTTTATACAGACACCAACACTCAGACTTTGAGTGTGCCGTCATTTCTCTGTTTTGCTTTCAAAAAGTAAGGGTTTACTTCTTTCTTTATTAGTAAATCCATAAAAACACCAAACATTAAAGAGTTTAACTTCATAAAATAACATTTAAATAATGATATTCTACCAATTTTACTTAGTATGGAAAAACACAAAATCTTACCAAGTATTTTTGGTTTAGTTTCAAGTGCAAATATCTTAGTACATCTGAAATAAAATAAAACTAACTTACAAGTAACTTTTCAGTAAGAAACATGAGCTTATTTAAGGTTAATAATTTCTTAATATTAATTTTTAAAAAGCTCTAGTTCTACTAGCAGATTATTTCACTAGTAACATAAAAAATGTTTTGTTTTAAGTGAAATAATCTGCCAGAGGAACTAAAACTTTTTTTTATTAATAATAAGGAATTATTGACTCAAAACAAGCTCCTATATTTAACTGAAAAGTTAATTGTAGGCTTTGTCTTATTTCAGGTGAACTAAGATGTTTTCATAGAAACTGGACCATAAAACCTTAGTAATGTTCAGTGTTTTTGCAGCGTTTCAGGCTGTTTTCCTCCTGCAGTCGGTGGCGACAGCCTTGCAGCTTCCAGCAGCTCCGGACCTTCAGTCCCGATTCGATTCCAGCACAGATGGACTGACTGAGACTCTCTTATCTCTCCGGATGGAGGCTCTTATTGTAATCACCACTTAACTGATAATTAGAGCAAACACTGGACCTTTGGTTCATCCTCCCACTTCTAAGAAACAAAAACATTTCTGTGCCTCTATTGCTTAAAAGCAACTGTTTCTTTGTAGCTCAGTAGCTAAAAAGTTGCAAAAAAACCTCAAAGTTTATCAACTGTTTCAGTAACATTTGGTCGATAAAGTTTCTGTACTTCTGACATCTGAGTTTCTTTTCTCCACAAGCTGCTGTGAAACTGATATCCAATACATGATTAATCTTAAAATTAGTTGGGTAGAAACTAATTACAATTACTTAAGTAAATTTACTTTTAGGAGTATTTTTACTCCTATTAGTAGCGGTTGTTGTGTCGACACCTACTTAAAATAAGTATGTTTTTTTTTTTTTTTTGCCAAAAATGACTGTCAAAAAGGCCATGATTTTAGGAAATTGATGTGATGCTGTACTTTTTACTTTTACTTGAGTAAAAATATAAGTAGTGCTGCTCTTGCTCCTTTGTACAGCTCATATAGAGGTAAAACTAAATGATCTAAAGTGTTGGAGCTCTGCTTTGGTTGCTAGGTAACAGGCCTGGGCTCCTGGGGTTGCTGGGTAACAGGCGGAACTCTGAAGGGGTTGCTAGGAAACGGCGCTGTGCCTGTGGAAAGTGACTTAACTATCCTGAAGTTTTGGAAATTGTGGTTTTTTTAAGTGTTTGTTCTGTTTTTAGAAGCAGCTGAGACCCAAATTGATTTACAAAACATGTAAAATGTGAAGCCTTGAGCAGCCTTTACGTTTTTACTCTTACTTGAGTAATTTCTTAGATGGCTAGTTTTTACTTTTACTTGAGTAAACATATGTTGAAGTAGTGCTGCTCTTACTTGAGTACATTTCTGGGTACTCTACCCACTGCTGCTTGAAATGCATCTTCTTGTTGTGTGTATGCATGGCTGGAGGTTGTGCTGACCTGCATTAGCTGAACACAGCGGCTGGTTAAAGTGTGCAGAGGCTGCATGGCTGAGAGGATTGTTCACTCTCAGAGATACGCTGTGTCAGGCTGTAAGCAGCTCCGGCTGGACTCCACGCCCTCCCTGGTTTTCCTCTTGCATAACCTCATCTGGTCCTGTATGCGCTGCACGTGGCAGGATCACACTAACCGTTCTGCTTCAAAGCCAACTCTCAGGTCTGCAAGTTCAGCCTTGATCAAGTTTCTGAAAACATAAAATAGCATTCGCAGCAAAGAAATATTGTGTGTGTGTGTTTATAAACAACAGTTGGGTGTTTTGTTGCAGCGGTTTTGTGGGAAATCCTCCGCCCAACGGGGAACGTTGTGTTCCTGGCTGCACAGCTGCACCTTCTTGCTGACAATACAACATGCTGGGACTGAAGCACCGGCCAGCAGCTTTCATCTGAAACCAGATTTGTCGAGCTGACTCTCAGGATTTACAGTTACAGATGTTTATGTGGAGGCCTGGCTCAAATGTCACACTGATAACGAGAGCCAAAACAGTTCCCAGAACCAGGAGCTGAACGTTTCTCTGCGCTTCAGTACACTCACATGCAAAACGTACCACAAACGTCTCTTACCATTATCAAAGGTAGTTTATCACATCTGCATGATACTGTGTATTTTTATTAACACGCAAAAGCTAAATAAAACATGAAGCCTGTGAACAGTTAGATAGGAAAGAAAAGAAAGAGATGAACACTGCAAAAAAACACGAAATACTACCAAGTATTTTTGGTAAAGTTTCTAGAGCAAATATCTTATTACACTTGAAATAAGGCAAAACTTATTTACAAGAAACTTTTCAGTAAGAAATAGCAGCTTGTTTTTAGTCAATAATTACTTAATGTTGAAGAAAAAGTTCTGATTATACGTGAAATAATCTGCCAGTGGAACTATTACTCTTTTAAATCAATATTAAGGAAATCTTTACTGAAAACAAACTATTTCTTGCAGAAAGGTTACTTGTATGCTAGTTTTGTCTTCTTTCAAGTGTGCTAAAATATTTGCACTGGAAACTAGACTAAAGAAACTTTGTCAGTTTTTGTATTTTACAGTGTCGATCCTTAAAGATTCACAGAAACAAACCATATAAAGACACAAACAAATGATTCACTAAGTACCACTAAAAAAAAAGTAAAAACAATCTAGAAAAGCAAACAGACGCTGCTAAAACTTACAATTAAGGCACAAAAATCTAATCTCTGAGGTGCAAAACATGTCAAAAGATATAAATATAAAGATTTAAATATTCATAAAGAGTGATTGAATTTAAATTTAATATTTTCAACAGAGACTCTAAGAAAATAAAACTTAAATAAATACAAAGTGGTGAAAACAGAAGGTGATGTATTGAAACATAAAATCAAGTTTGCATGATTTTACATAAAAATGATTACTAACAGCAATTAATTAGAAAAGAGAATACAAAAATGATTCAGATGTGAGTTTTGTTGTCTATGAAAGGAGATCCTGAAACCTCAGCTTGAATTCCTGGAAACCCTTGAAGCTACAAGCAGAAGAAATGTGGTGGGATGGTGAACAAAGAGACCTTTGAGACAAAATGGAGCGCTACGAGACTTCAGTTTGTGAGAAGAAAGATCTTCAGTTTCAGTTCAAATGCTACAGAAAACAAATGTTAAAGAGAAAACATGAGAAACACGTTAAGTTCTGGCTTTAAAACCTTAAAAAACCTTTTCCCCCCCACACTTCCTGTTATTACATCAAACAAAACCTGTTGCATTTTAGGTGGGTTATAATTACCAAACCTATTTCTTATGGGTTAATCAAAGAACAATGAATTTGTAGAGATTAATTTTTTATCAAATGTCATGAAGAAGTTTGGGAAAGCCCAGATCTCATGGCTTTGTAAGCTTCGTGATTTAGTTCACAAAAATGATGTTAAACTGAGGCTCACCTGCAGATACAATTTAAGGAAATGCCTCAAACTCGCTGCTTCCTTTTGTGACATAACAGGAAAAATGAAAAGAAATGAGCCAAAATACCAGGAGGAGAACGGTGGACGGCATGAAGTCTGGGTATCGTTTCCATAAAACTTTGAGATAATGCTGGCTGAAGCTGATAAGATTCTCAGTGCTCTTTCTGTGAAAGTAGCAATGGAAGAATTACTCTAACAGCAACATAAAAACCAAGATTACAGTTTGCAAATGGCCTTCACCTTCGGGGACAAGTCCAAAAACTTAAAGGGATGAAACTAAAACTTAAAAGGGACTTATTATGTAAAATTCACATTTTGAACGTTTTTATGCTTCCATTTTGTAACTACTGCTTCTAAAAACAAACTAAGCACTTAAAAAACATATAGAAGGTTTCAGGAAATAAGTTAAGGATTTTGATGTCTGGAAAACGAGCCGTTTCAAAAAATATCCCGGTTGTTAAGCCACAGTCAACAGTCACATAGCAACGCAAGCAGAGTTCCAGCACATTTGGTCAGCCTGTCTTACCATTGTACAATGGCTGCTGGAAAGACAAGTGTTTTGTTGTTGATGTACCATCCAGAAATCACTTGCTGCTTTCTTGTTGGTTGTACAGAAGGCTCTACTTCTGCTTTTCAAAGATGTACGGTTGTATAATTGCGCATCTGTTTGCAGCCATTTTCATGTGCGAGTGTAAACGTTGAGCAGGGGGTGTGGCCAGCAGCAGCTTTTTGGATTTAAAGTGACAAGACGCCCTAAAGCAGCTCATTCTGAAAGGAGCTCAAACAGGCAGAACTGAGGAGGCTAAAATATCATAATCTAAGAGTAATTTTATGTAAAAATGTAATGAACATGTTTTGAACTATTGTAACAGACCTAAAGCAGGAAAAATATCTGTTTTCATGTCAGACAGTGAGAACAAAACGGTTATTTACAGAGAAGGTAAATGTCTAGTTTAAACTGCATATATTTATATTATTAGCTCCTGATTAGCGCTGCCCAGTTTGTAGCACTGCAGCATGTGCAGGTTCTCTCCACGTACTCTGTCTTCCTCCCAAAGTCCAAGAACATGACTGCTAGGTTAATTAGTTACTCTAAAATTGCCCTTAGATATGAGTGTGCACATGCATGGTTGTTTTTATTGTTTATGTTGTATTAGAGTTCAACAAAAGAAAAACGCAAATAATCTACTTTATTGTGTTCCAGATCAGCTCATAGACTGAGCTGCTGATCATATTCCTGAAGTTTTAAACAGACCACAGTGTCATCAGCATAACGGCAAACATGCAGGTCACATTTTCTCACCTACATGTTCAGGTGAGCAAATGGCATCCAAGTACAGAACCCTGTGGAACACCAGAAAATAATATACATGTTGAGAATATTTAATTCCTCTCTGTAAAACCTTTAATTATCAGATAAATGAAACTTTGTTGATATTTTTAAGCCTTTCTTCTGCAATGTTGAAGTAAAATATCCGCACTTGTAAAATAAAACAATGGTAAAATGATAAAAGGAGCCAAAACAGATTAAATAAATTCCAAACCCTCACAAAGACACAGGTACAAATTTGCTGTGTAATGAGACAAAGACAGAAACATGTACATTTTCTACTAAAGATGACTGTAATAAACTATAAAACACCTGATAATGTGACGGGGAGCCCCGTCCCTCACGCAGATAAAAATCTTCTTTACTGCCAGGTCGCTCTGTAGTCTGTTACTGAAAACACAGTATGGTATAGATTAGATCTAAAAATACTTTCTGACACAATTCAAAGTTCATCATGAAGGTAAACAAACACGGCGAGGTTGTTTCACTTCCGTGAACATGTCCCGCTTTTCTCAGTAAAGTTTGTTTACATTTTCTGAAAACTTGGCTAACAGTTTAACTTATTGTATTTTATAGGAGAGATCCTGTAACTTACGTGGATAATCTCTCTAAAGAGAAGCTTTGTCTCTGTGGATGTTTCCTGCAACCATGCGGCTCTTGTGCAGCCAGAAAGATGCCAAACACAAATGCTAATGACATCAGCCTGCATGCTGGTTCACATTATGCCTGCAGCACAAGGAAGAGCTTTGTATCTGAGCCGTCCGCTTCACATGGGAAGATTTTACGTCACAACGACGCCTGGCAACTCCAACCCTGCTGCACAGAAGCAGCGTGCATCGCATTACACAACAGCAAATTTGTTTAAATTCCAAGCAACCGCTACCTTGAGACCAAGTTGAAACCTGCAGGATAACCTGTTGAGGGGAAAAGAGCAGCTCACTGACTGCTAACATTTAGGCTAGCTCTTATTCGATAAACGTTTCAGAACCGAGGTGGGACAATCATGGTTTGGGATTTTTGTTGCAAGCGGTGAAAGGAAGGAAATTTAATTGCCAAGGCATCCTCATGCCCCATTCACATGGGAATGTTTTATTCTAAAATGGTTAAAAACTCGATGAAAAAAAACGAACTTTTTAATCGTTTTTTCCCCACATAATAGCGACTCGATGCTCAAAGGAAGTGTTTAATTACCCAAGTTTAGGAATAAATTCAGGAGCAGGGTCTTGTTTAAAACGAGACATAATTTTACCAGGTTTTTAGCAAGATTTCTCATTAAAACGACAGATAAAACTTGTCTTGTTATAACAAAGTTTTCTTGTCATAACTACTTAAAAAACGCCCTGAGTTTATTTACAAGCTCTTGCAGCTAAAAGCTTCCGTATAATTTAGTTTTGTTTTTTTTTTTTTCTGAAATCCAACTTCTGTTCCGTAGTCGTTTGATTAACGGCTAACTGTTACCGACCCGCATGCGCAGAAGAAGAACGTAGACGTCACACAGCAGTAATAGTAATGGATGCTGCCATCTGTGGATCAATTTTCAAGTTGTTGAGCAATTGAGAACCGACATTATTGACAAAAGTTCATAACAACACAAAGAAAGCTAAAGGTCAGTGTGTCGCTAGCTTTAGCCATCACGTCTAGATTAATTGCTTCTGTTTTCTTCTGGTGCAGGATTATGACGCATGTCTCCCATAAATGACGTAAAGGTTAGATAAAATGCGGCACGACTATTCCTGCAGCAGACTTTGAAAACTATCGGATATCTAACCAAATTAATAGTAAGTGGCACAAATCAGATTTTTGGGCTAAAAGGTGGGTGCAGCCCTTTCAGACTGCAATGAAAAGCCGGATGCGGGCAAAATAATAATAAATAAATAAAATCAGTTGTGTGTGAACTGTCTGAACGAGCTTTGGTCACGGAATTGAATGGGTGGGGAAATATACGTAATATATATTGGTAAATGTCAGTTACAGCAGCATTGATTTATTTTGAAGTCACAGCATTCCAAGTAAAAATCATTAAACATAAACCGTATTGAGAACAGAATAATTAAAATTAGGTTATCTTTTACACTCTTATCTGACTGGATTTTGACAAAGTATATAAAATGGGTGTAAAATATGATTCTTAGTTATAATTTAACCACCTGAAACAATAAAACGCTGCAAAGCAGAGATTTAGCACAATGTCACCTGATGATTACTGCTTTTACCTACAGTCTACGCACCAACTCCAATTAAATGCAAGTACTGATCAGATACATTACACTTTTGAGGATATATATAAATAAATCATTTACTAAGTATGTTTGGTCTAGTTTGTAGTACAGATATCTTAATACACTTGAAATAAGACAAAACTAACTTACAAGTAACTTTTTATCAAGAAAAAATAGTTTAAGTAAATAATTACTTTATATTGATGAAAAAGCACAAGTTACATTAACCTGCCAGTTGAACAAGACATTATTTTCATATTAAAGGTTTATAATTTTTTTGTTATTTTACTTAAATAAAGTAGTTTTTCATTATAATTAAGGAATCATTCACTTCAAACAACCTTCTATATTTTTCTGAAAAGTTACACGTAAGTCAATTTTCTCCTATTTGAAGTGAACCAAGATATTTGTACTACACAAACTAGACCAGAAATACTTGGTTAGATTTTGTGTTTTTCTTTGAATGTCTGTCACATTCCATGCATTTATAAACTGAGGCTTTTTTAAAACATTCCTGCAGAACAATTGGAGTTATACGTCAACCTAAAGTTCAGTAAATATTTTCCCAGTTTTTCTCTGCTTTGATTGGTTGGTTTTCTGAGAGGTGCCCACACACCTCACAGTAAACTGACAGTATTAAAAAAACTGGTTTGCAGTCAGCTGTTTGCTCAGGGAACAGTACAGTTAAAACATTTCTCACTCCGGTGATAAGAGGAACGCAGACATGACCTGCCCTGTGAACTGATAATCTCTGCTCTGCCTGGTTATCCACTGTTTTACGGCTGTTGGGCAACTCTGAGGCGCAGCCAGAGAAAAGGACAGGAGACACCGCCCGCTCCTGCCAAGTCTGCAGTCACGCAGCCTCATCATGCCTGGCAAGGCCCACTCAGGTCTTTCAACACTTAACGACTCCCCAGCATGTCCCAAGATCTGTCTGTCACGTCGCACACTGAACCCAAGACACGTTGCAACACCTGAGAGCTTCCAAATTTATCTGAACGTCTGGCTCCTGCTTTTTAGGCAGGGCGAAGGTAATTAGGAAAGATTTTATTACATAAAATTCCCAGTGAACTTTAAGCTGTACTGCATGATGAAACAGCACCTCCTCCTCTTCGCCCTTTCAAATCCAGAATGTACTGGATGTTTGCTCTCAGGTTTCTAAAGGGCCGAATGTGGCCTAATGGGAGGTCGACTCTGATGCAGAATATCTGACCTTGGAGATTAGCTTGATGGCACAAAAATATTGCACTTCAAAATATTATGTTCTTTTTCTTTTTTGTGGGACTCAATTAAAATGTTTAATATAATTAATTCCAGAGTCTGTAATTGAATAATATTGACAAAAATAAGCAACATTTTCAATTAAAATTATCGAATAAATAGAAATATGAGCTCAACAACAAAAATATATTTATTGTATTTAATCTGCTATTTGGTTATTCAATAATCAGATTTGTTCAAAGTGCTTTTTTAACTGGAAGTGGAAAATCATAACTAAAATAAAGGCTTTCAAACACAATCTATGCTCAGAAAAGTTTGGCCATTAAAAATTATGGCAATAATTAATACAACTGAATAGATTTTAAAAGCTCAAACTTTAACTAATTAAAGCAATTCAATAGAAATGAATTAAATCATTGGTCAAAACATTTAGGATTTTCTAACAATATTACAAATGTTGAGTGAACCAAAATTAATTTTATAGAAAAAACTGATGCGCTTCCGTACCGATCAGATCATTTTGAAGCATAAATGTAAATCCGTCGGTTGTGCGTCAGATTTACGGCCGTACCGGAAACACAATACAAAGGTTCCGAATCAAAATCTCTGTGTCTAAAAAAAAAACCCGATTAACTTCGTTTGTAAAAAGCAATATTTGTAATTAATTACTTGACTTAAACGCAGTAAAGTCCCAGTCCTAGTTTCTTTTATTAATTTAGGTGGATTTTTGTCCACCTTGAAAAAAACGAATGATTCCAAGTTTTAGCTAACACAGCTAACGGTGGTAGCATGTTGTAGCAGCTCTGCTAGTTCTGATTTGTTCTTCTTCTAGACTTTTGCCCTAAATATTTTTTCTTTGTTGAGGAAATTAATTATTCCCTCTGGTTTTGGATCCTGTGCAGCTGGACGTATCTTTGTTGTTATGGCACGTAACCATGGCAACAGTGTATTTTAAGTATTAGGAGTTGCTGATTAGCATCTCAAAATGTCTAAACTATGAAAGTCTCACAGATCAAGCGTCCTGAGACATTTTAAACTGGCTAGGTGTTGACAAGAACAGGGTCATCTTTTAAGTGTGGGAGTCTTTTAATGCCCAAAACGTTAATTAATTAGAATAGAGTGCCATAAAAACAAAGAAACATCCATCTTTTAAAAAATGCTGATAGCTAAACTCTGTGAAAAAGCCTAAAAGACTCAATTTCTGAAAAATAAAAAAAATACAAGAAAATGGCCTGACGCAAAACATTAAGTTGGAAAACTCAATCTGTACGATATTGTATCAATAAAGGCTTTAGATAAGATTATTTCATAAAATCAGAAGCAAAAGTAAAAGATAAAGAAGTTGAAGAACCTGTTCTGGCATGTAGATATCTAACCTTCCTGTTCTGGCATTTTCAGATGCATCTAGCTTTAAAAGTAACAAGGATGTTTTATTATGATGCAATCTGTGGTTTTTTATTGTGTTTGGACGTACATGGGACACTAAAAATTACAACATCAGACCATCCAAAATGAAAAGTTATGTGGACATTTAGGTATTTTAGAGACCAAAAGGAAAATGATACATACAAATAACAATTACAAAATAAGGCAAAAGAAACATTTTTCCAAATCAATTTCTTTCAATGTAAGACTTATGAAACTTTGAACAAAAACTGCAGGTGTGTGTCTGGTGAATGTTTGGTTAAAACATGCTTATTCTCAATTCAGTGAAGAAAAAAATCAAGAAATTTTACCCAAGTAAGAGTAGCGATATGTCTTAATAAAATTACTCTTGTAAAAGTTAGTAGCACAGCAAAGTAAAAATACTCTTTCAGTAATTTTTTCCCCCAAAAAGTTACTCACTTAAAAATAACTAGTTACTATCCGGCTCTGATTTTAGGATAAATCATATTTTGGATATCAGCTTCATAGCTGTTTATGGAGATAAAGAAATTAATCAGATGTCAGAAGTGAAAGTGCAGAAACTTTATCAACCAAATGTTCCTGGAGCTCTTGACAAACTTTATTAATATGGAAAGCAGGAACCTTTTATCTTCAGAGCCATGAAGAAAGATTTGCTTTTAGAGGTTAAAGCATTTCTAATAAACAAAATAAGGCACAGAAATGATGAATCACTAAATAATAAAATACTCAATAAAAAGTAAAAATGACAGCATAGTAAAAAGTTAGGTTTTTCCAAAACGTTACACAAGTAAATACAACTGGTTACCACACAACTCTGCATTTTATGCCTGTTTACCTCACTTATTTGGTTTTTAAAGCTCCTGCTCATCTATTCTATAATTTGGAGATAAACAGGTGAAACAGATTACATTTCAGGGTTTTTTTTTTTTTTTTGCATCTTCTCTGAACTCTTAATAAATTAAAACATCAATTTATTCCAGTGGTTTCATCCAGCTCAGCTTAAAAAGAAACTACCGCTCTCTCTGGATCCCCT